AATTTGAGGTCTTCTGGCCTTAGCCTCCTAAGTAGATGGGATAACAAGTGTACACCATCACACCCCATTTCAAATTAAAAGTTTCAAAAGGTATAGCATTTGTCTAGCATGTACAAGGCCCTGGGTTTGATACATAGCACCAAAAATAAATAAACCTATAAATCCAAAACCTGTGTTCAAGTATAGTTGTTAGAGGTTGTTTGTTTATTTGTTTTTTCCATGAATCTGATTATAGTTACTTTTAGGAAAAAATCAAAATGGTGACTCATATGATAAATACTTCAAAGAGCCATGATTAAAAATCTGTTGGTAATATGACGTAACCATCTATTAACAAGGTGATTTGGTTTTTTAATATAGTGTCCAGAACTATATGTGAAAACATATTAGTTTTTTAAATTAATTTATTGCAATTTTGAAGCAAATATTAATAAACAGCCAAATAAATATAACTTGAAAAAGTTATGTCTTATATGACAGGGTTTCTGATCATATCAAATTAGGCTACTTGGGTTAATTTCTCTCTTCTAGAAATCCCTTGAGAATTTCTGGAGCCCTCCATAATATCTCAATGTTAGCTCAAGGTCAAGTGACAATGTAGAATTTGATCCTAGAGAAGTTAGTCCACAATCTCAAAAGGTTTAAAGCACTTAGTGAAAGTAGGGTCTTAGATCATTCTAAAAGATAAGTCTTTTAGCCAGAGTGATGAAGGATTTTGAAAGCTAATACAGAAAGTTATGTCATAGGAAATAGTACTTCAACTTTTATCCGAGATGACTAAGCTATCCTTTTTTTCAAGTAAACAGAGACCTTGTTAAAACCAATATAAAACTCCAGAGGCTGAAGATTCAAAGCCAGCCTCAGCAAAAGCAAGGCACTAAGCAACTCAGTGAGACCTTGTCTCTGAAGAACATACAAAACAGGACTGGGGATGGGGCTCAGTGGTCGAGTACACCCCTGAGTTTAATCTCCAGTTTGTGCCCCACCCTCCCCCCAAAAAATCTAATCTGAAGCATAAAATGTTACCTCCCCCGAGTACTGAGCATTGAACCAGGGGCACACTACCACTAAGCCATGTGCCGAGTCATTTTGGTTTTATTTTGAAACAGGCTTGACAAATTGCCAAGTCTCATCTGAATCTTGCCATCCTCCTGCCTCAGCCTCATGGGAAACTGGAATTACAGGCATGGCCCACTTCCCTGTCTTGAAAGGCACTTCTTAGAGTGCAGCTCTTTGACAGCTGTTCATCTGGAACATTCACATGAAAGCCATCACAATTTTTAATTATGGTTGGTATCATTTGCCCACCAATTTCAAAATGTGCTTGAGAATGAACCATAACAGTCTCAGCTGGAGTGCA